AACAAAACAAAAAAAAAGAATTGGGTCACCCCTGGATCGAGGGGACAATATGCAAATGACGCAGCAAACTTGTTCCACGTCACACACATTATCAATGTGTGCGATTTATTTCATATAAAGATTTGCACATGCACACAGAGACAGACACATTTACTGTACATACACGTACGCGCACATGCGCGTACCACACTGAGACAGACGGGTACAGCCACGGTCCCGCGGATCACAAAGCAAACTGTGTCAAAGCGATGCTCTTAACTACATCATGGATCTATAATAATAACATGCACCACGTCTCTGAAGCCTCAGTGAACGCCACACGCTGTGGCCGCTTCGCGAGCGAACGTCACCACACACGGCACCAACACACGCATTAAAAACTCTGAATGACTCGCACACGCTTCGGAGCTTCCTCCCGTTCACCACAAACTTGCGCCCGGGTGTTTCATGTTGTTTTCTTTCATTGTGGCGCAGCTTTGCCCGACAGCTACTTTACCAACAACTATAGTAATGCATCATGGGATCACCCTAGAGCGCAAGTGAGCTCTGGACCTCACTTGAGCGCGAGGGTGGTTTTAAAGAGTGTTTAAAGAGACACCCTACAACCCCTCACGGGCACATGCAAAATCTAGGGCAAGGGTGCTTTGGGCAAGGGTGAGAATTGGGACGGGGCCAAAGACTACTATAGGTGTATGTAGGTACCAAAAATGTTTATTAAACACATTAATATTAGTCTAGTTGGCTACCTCTGGACCAATGACTCCAATGTATATGTGTATGTAACCATAGCAACCACAAATAGAATACAAAGCATTCTGTTACCATGGGAACACTTTGATAACGTCATCTAGAACACGATGATGTCATAAAGACAGGCATTGACCAGAGATGGTGTAGGAACTCATATCTGACCTTTCTGAGCACAGAACGAGCACCGGACGGAACTCAGACGCAACAGAACTTTCAAGTAGAAAAGTTACTTGAGACTCCTACTTCATCAGAAAGTAGACTCTTCCCCCACTCAACTCAGATCATGGTTGTTCACGTAGAGCTCGCTCGCCTCCTCGAGGTTGAAAAAGCTCTCGAAGAACAGCTCCAGGTCAACGCTGTACAGAAGCAGAGACTGACGGAGCTGGAACTGACACTTCAAGAGCGAGACCAAAAAATTAACGAGCAAAACGACTTCCTAGAACAGAGAGACACCCTGATAGAATTTGGGACAAAATTCATTAAGAACAGGGAGAAGATGATGAAGAACGAAGCTCTGAAGATCCGAAACGGGGTCAATCTTTATGTGGGAAACCTCCAGGAGAAACATATACATCTCCAGAATCACTGTGTGGACCTGGAGGAAACCGTAGCCTCTCTGCAACAACAACTGGAGCAAACAGACCAAACGCTTATGGATGTTGATTTTGAAAGCATGATGCTCAAGACCGAAGTCGCAAAATTGAAATATGAACTGAATCAGCAGAGAATGACAGCTGACCAGATAGTTCAAGAACGCGATGATCTCCAGCTCAAAGTTGATGAGCTTAAGGAGCTCTTGGAGCAAAGAGACACCCTGATCGACTACGGAAAGGAATTCATTAAGAAAAGGGAGAAAGAGATAAAGCTTGTGGCTCGAGAATTCCAAAACCAGATGGATGATTATGAGGAAAAAGTCCTTGAGAAACAATTTCATCTGGAGAATTATTGTATGGACCTGCAGAATGACACATTATCTCTGTGGGAACAACTGGATACGGCAGAACAACTGCATTTACAAGACGAGGCAAGGAATATGAAGCTGGAAACTGAAATCTCAAAGATGAAAAAGCTCCAACAGCAGCAAGAGCAGACGATCCAGGAGCTGCAGACCTCGACACAAGAGCTGCAGGAGGAGCTGGATGAAGCAGAGAAATATCACATCATAGACGCAGTTGAAAACATAAAGAATGTGGGGGAACTTGCGGAGACCAAAATACAACTGAAGAAGTCTGAAGCCGAGAACAAGGCTCTAAAGACTAGTCTACAGCAGGCTGACAGGGACGCAGAAACCAAGGACCAAACTGTGGCCTACCTGAAGACTTTGCTATCTGACAAGCAAACTACCCTGAGCAAATGTGAAGCGCTGGAGACGTCTTTGAAGGAATCAAATGATGAGCTGTGTCAAACCAAGCTCCAAGTGGAAGAGATCCAGAACGAGTTGGACAAAAGGGGCCAGAAGAAGAGAAGGAGGTGGTGGAAGTGTTGCAGGGAGTAATCACCTCAACATCACTGTAGTGGGAGCATCTTGACTCGTTTCAACAAATGAGTCGAGGTGCAACACACTCAGGGGGTGGGAAGAGAGGAGGGGAGGGAGTTATTTAACGATATTTAAGGCATTTTAACGGATTGCGACACACCATACCACGGTCAGCTTCAGAAGTCTCACTGACCAGTCGAAAATGGCTAAATACTACTTTGAAGAGACATCGATTTAACATCAGCCCTAGCTCAGGTTAACAGACCACACGTCCACAGGTGTGGTCAGGAGCTGTGGGAGTGAAATCCTGTAGTTTTGCTCTCACAGCGCTGAGTCTGAGTGGCTCATGTTAAATATGTTTCACTGTGAACGCTGAGACAGTTCTCAAACACTAGTGTTTATACGCAGGTCACAGAGTCTGTCTGTGGCTCGCCATATCGCTGACTGTTTGTCAGAGTAACAGAGTTGACTGAAACATTGCAAACAAACCAAAATATATGGAGTGATGGAAAAGGTTTTTCCTCTTTCAGGCGTGAAGGGTTAGCCTATCTTAGGATTTACAAGATGCCTGCACAAATGAAAGGGAAAACATTTCCAATCAAGCCATTATATTTTGGAATGATGATGTCTGTATAAACAACAACAATGTTTTTGCCGTGTCTGTAAAAGACAGTGGTATGAAAGTTGAGAAATAAGTATGAGTATCAGTTAGTCCTCATCTGTCTTCCGCCCAGACATTGTCCTCCCTCTGCTGAATGGCATTTTCAGCATCCTATAGGATATGAAAACATGATGATACGATAGAATGAATAAAAACAATGCGTTATATCAACAGGTTTTTTTTCAATTATTATTCAACAGCACAAACCAGGACACTCTCAGAAAATAGATTAATTATCTCAATGAGGTTCTCCTGGTTAAATAAAAAAACCTCTGGATTTTCCTGTAGCAATATCTTCGACCACCCAATAATTAGTAAGTAAGTGAGTAAGGTTTATTTATATAGCACATTTTTACAGACAAAGCGCTTTACAATTGTTCAGAGTTCAGATAGTTGTTCCATTCTCTCCACACAAAATCTAGGGCAAAGGTGCTTTTGAGGGCAATGGTGAGAATTGGGACGGGGCTTTAGTGTTATGGGACCAGTCCAGTTTATTGTTAATGTGAACACCCAGGTACTTGAAGCTGTCCACCAGCTCAATGTCCTCCCCCTGGATGTTCAGCAGCGTGTGGGAAAGTGGTTTTCTCCTGAAGTCCATTACCACCTCCTTGGTCTTACGGGTGTTCAAGCACAAGTGGTTGGTCACACCAGTCGACAAAGTCCATGATACACTAACTGACCGGTCCCCTGGGAGGTGTCCACTGAGCAGTGTCCACTGACGGTGTCCAATTGCCTGGAGACATGTAAAGAGGCAGGAAGGGGGACAGATGTAGTGAGGGGAAAATCCAACTGTTGGATTTAGTTGTTGTTGGATATTGGTTAAATTAGTCTGCCTTGATCCTGGTTTCCCAGCATCAGTGGGTACACTGTCAGAAGCGAGGCAACCAGTATTTGCCATTGGCCCTTCCAACCACCACAAACCATTCACCCACACACAATATTCATTCTAGGCAATGTGGGTGACGTGTCTTGCCTAAGGACACAACAGGTGGCCGCCCGACTGTGTCACCTGGGGGTCCTGCCCTGTTTAGCTTCAATGGTCTGATGGGATCTGGCTTTCACATGCAGGTATGGCAAAATGCAACATATTTTTTTGAAAGACAGTATCAACACATTTTTATTTATCCTAAACAAAGCGTTCCCCAGATTGAGGGTAAGGTTTGAGGTACTGTATACTGTATGTAGGGAAATGTATCCTCTGCATTTGACCCATCCTTCAAAGCCACTACAAACGTTCAGAAGCAGCGTCAGGAGACCCATTTTTATATTATGTCTCTTTTACATTTGCCCAAATTTTGTCTCGACATCTCTGTCAGGCTGCCATACATAAAATGTCTTCTCTTTTTCCCTTCAAGATCTAAAATATGTCCCTGTAGAATTGTTCATAACTACATTCTTTGCAGCGTGGAAACGGATCTGCTCTGGGTGTCGGCACAAAGTCGAGTTATGAAAAAAGTGACTCTGTGAATGCTTTTTCGAAAGCAGTATTATTGTCTCTGCTGCAAATTTACATCTCAATAGATTTGGCCCAGGTCCTGGTCTGAAAGTTTAATTGGCATGCAATATGTTCTACTGTAGACTGTTTTTGCAGTGTATCTGTTGTTTTTTGACCTTTTGTTTTTTATTTTAGTCTGAGAAAAAAGGTGTTCACAATCTGTGGCTCTGGATGTGAGACAATTCAAAGCAGATGGGCCAATCAAGATGTCATCCAATTGTCTGAAAGTGCTGAGGCAAAATGGAGAAAACATTACTGGTAGAATCACAACCAGTTCAAGGGTAAAATGTAGTGTTCCTTAATGAAGAGATAAAGGAACTCAAACACCAAGACGAAGGTGCTTGGCTGTCTGTATAATCCTTTTCATAGCCTACATTTCTATGATAGAAATCTGGTAAGTCTTTATGTTTGAAACCCATCACTACCCATTTTCTTACTGCAATAAATAACAAATAAATAATTCATTGAACTTGTTAAATTGTTTCATTTATGTGTGCACATAAGACTCTAGGGAATATGCATCTATCTATAGACCCCCCCCCCCCCCGTTGTGCACCTTGTGTCCACAGTGTACAGTGAGTCACCATAAGAATGTTCCTGACTGATGCCTGAACCAAATGCATGCAGCAGAACATAACATCCCCATGCATGGTGTTTGTGTTGACCCATAAATCAAAAAGTCCATGAGAGTTCTTTTTTCTTCAACAGAATATAATATTTCTTTTGCAGATTGTGTGATTTCTTGATCACAAGGCCTGTCCAACCCTGCCCTCTGTGAAGCGCTCCAAGGCGAAGAAGCGTACTGAGGATAATGCAGCCGTGTTCATGTTTGCATTAACATAAATATGAGAATCTATCAGACGCAAGTTAATTAAGCTCGGAACCTATATTCACTAGTTACCAATAAATGTTAATTACTTATCTATATGTGCAATTGGACACTTTAACTGTACAGTGGAACCTAAACATTTGACTGAAGTTCAACCATATCTTTACCCATTGTGTCATGCCATATTAAAATACTTAAAAATAAAATATAGGCCAACACAACCTGACAGTATTAGGCATTGAAATTCACATCACAAACACCACCATTGCTTCTCCATTCCTGCGGTTTTAAGATGTAGCAAAAGTGTTGACAAGGCAACCTGCAGAAATCTACAATTACATATTGATCTATAGTCTACTCCAAACAATTCATTCTGCAATAAAGGGTTCTTTCACAAGAGAGAAAAACACAATACTTTGAGTGACCCTACGTTCATGAAAAATATATAGACACATTGTTCTGAAGAGATATCTAGATCTGGACAAGGTTGCTACGATGCTTAATCTTTTCTTTATTTCTCTCAATTTTAGTATGCATGCTTCTTACAGCCACTTACAGAGTGACTGCAAAAGCACGCTTCAATTCTTTCACTTTTCCTAGCAGAAACAGCCCAGCGGGGAGATGAGAGAGATGTCTTCCCAAGTGCTTTTAAAACCACTTACAAACGGGCTACACACCGACAGATAACGTTGATAGCCACTTGGATATGTCCTTCACGTCAGCCTCATTACTTGCAAGATCAACTTTTTCCCCCCTTTGTCTGGGTATGTTTATTAGAAGAGAAGAAAACAGCCATTCCACAGACAACAAAAACATTATGATTAATGCTTTCAATAACATGTAGACATTTTTAAATGGACCATATGGACAGCAATGAGTGGTCTAATTGTGCACATTACTGTTAGTATTTTTTTTATTATATTTTTTTTGGAAACTTTCCTGCAGTAGAATTGTCCTCACTAGTGGATCTGAGCTCTTTGAAGTAATTGTTGTTCACCATTTAAGTGGAAAAACAGACCTCTAAAGCCACTTGTGTTGCTAGAAACATGTAAAATTGTATGTGAGAGCAGAAAAACGCAACCCTGATTACACCATCGTCATTGGTCATATCAGTGATCCTGATTAATCCAGAGCAGAAATACTGAGCAGTTCAGTCATGTAAAGACAACCACCTCCGGCTGAACGCATCCAAAACTTGTGAACTTGTATTTGACTTTAGCCTTAACAATTATCGATTGACAAAAATAAGCAGAAAAACACAGAACAGCCCTCGAGAACTCTTTAACTACATGCATTTGACTCTATCCCCAAAACGCACAGCCCCAAATCTTCACGCGTTGTTGCAGAGACTTGTCAGCCAAGATAGCCCTACAACATCCAGGGAATGGGAATGTAGATAGTCAGGACGGATCTCATCCACTCCCGGCGCCTTGCCACTAAAGAGGCTGCCAACCGCCTTGGTGACTTCAACCAGGGAGATGAAAGATTAAGATTAAGAGATCCTTTATTCGTCCCACAGTGGGGAAATGTCAGTGTTGCATCACAAGTTATAGAACAGTACGAAAGAGGAGCACACGGCACAAAATAAGTGAACAATAGCTATACTAATTAAAATTAAAAAAATCTCTAACGCTAGTATCAAATAACAAGTATAATTTCTATCTTGAAAATAATGATAAAAATATTTAAAAGTTTTAAATTTGGCAAAATAAGAGGCACTGTGTATTCTAGTGCAAGCAAAGTGTAGTTATATGTTAGCATCTGTACATTAGCAGCAGTATGTTTACATCTGTACATTAGCAGCAGTATGTTTACATCTGTACATTAGCAGCAGTATGTTTACATCTGTACATTAGCAGCAGTATGTTTACGTCTGTACATTAGCAGCATGAGGCTCTGAGACACAGGGACTCAGTAAAGTGACAGTGAATGTGGTTTTTATTAGTTAAGGATATTACAACGATGCATGACAGGCACAAGGTGGGGAGCTTGTTTGCTTTAAACTTGTATTGAGAAAAAGTAAAATATGCCTTGTAACTACCGTCCTTTTATCTATGGACACATAACAGATGTAGATGTATTTTAAAATGAAAATATTACATACTGTCCCTTTAACAGCAACGTGCTCTTTATTTCACCTCTTAGACCAGTGCACAAGCTTCTTAAGCATACAGTACATTCTGGACCACCTTTGAGAAGAATATATCAGCCAACCAAGTCCTTCATACAAGCTGAAGAGGGACTGAACATGAAAACAGATTGTAAGTGCAAATGTAATGGGCATTTCAAGGAATGTACTAAGTGGACCTCCAAATGTGTCCGTGTTTGCAACAACCGCACATTCACAAGCTTGAATAGATTTCTGCACTTGAAATATTTCACATTCTTTTACCCTAACACGTAATGAACATTGCAGATATGATCATCATATACAGCAACAAGACGTACACTTCACAACCATTCAAGAGCCTTGGGAGTGTGAATGTAATAGAGGTAAAAAGAAAGAAAGTTAATTAATGAAAGGTTGAATAGGTATAGTAGGGTTGTTGGGTTTTTATCACTGTGTCTTTCTTTTACTGGCTCATGCATTCAATATAAAAGCAGCTCTCTACACACCAATGCAAGCTGGCAAAACTAAAACAGAATTGTAATTTCTGGGTGAATTCTGTTTGGATAAGTGAAATCTAAATAAAAAGGATTTGAAAAAAAAGGAGTTGTGCAGTTGTAAACTATAGTGGTCTCAAACACTCGGCCTGCGGGCCATTTGTGGCCCATTATGGCATGTTATACATCTTTTAAATAATATGTTATCAAGAAAACAACCACGCCATGTGTTTTACCATAATCATTGAACCCTGAATGCATTAAGAAATAATTAAGTAGACAATTAAATACTATCATATAGTAATTTATTAAACCCAGTCTACTATACAAATCCTCATTGCTTTTTGTACAGTTTTATTTCAATCCAAGCAGCTGGACTCTTTTTCTTCATAGATATAATTATTACATATTTCTAACTCATAATATGTAATAAAAGTAATGATGAGTATAAAAAGTCACAGATACAAACAACAAACTATGCAACTTTCCACAAACATTCAATTCTTGTTTTTGACTGTTCTACAAGCCCAATTGTTTACTTTCTCTTCTGTTATTGTTAAAGAACAAGAAGATTTCACAGTTTGAAATGTAGCGGCACATTATCATTTATACAGGAGCAAAACAATGTTGTGTTTTGATTCTATCTCTGCACGTGTGTAGATATATGTATCTTGCACACACACAAACATGTGATAAACATAACCCTGCAGCCCAGCTTCATCCAGACTCGACCTCATGCGGCCCCCAGATAAATTGCTTTTGAGACGCCTATTTTTAACACTCGGTACACAGTGGGTTCAGACCATACAACCTGCTCTGAGTTCTTTGATCCGCTCATCCCATGATTATGTGAAAACACTCACACACTCATAAGGTTTTAGAAAACAAATATACTTCATCCTCTACACACTACTTAATTAGCCCGGAGTCAGCAAAATCCTCATAGCAACTGCTACAAAGACCAAATTGTAGATTGACAAAGAAGAGAAAAAGCTAATTTTTCCTATATTTAACTAATGATTTTTACACAACTTCATTCAGCATGCTTATGTATAACAGACCCACTTTATAATCCAAAATGAAGATTAACAATTGTTTGATATGCTGACCACCTATGGAGTGATATAGACCCTGTAATTTAACATTAGGTTTAAACGTATTATTCAGCATCACTGGTAAATAGCACGACACATCCAAGCATTCACTCACCCCAACCCCCACTACCTACCGCCCCAATGAGAATAATTAAATGTCATTTAATTCTCTCCATTAGCCACCACACACACACATACCCCCGCTCCACCTACCACGCCTTCAGTCCTTATGTCTGGGACGGAGCTGTGGTGGTACACACACTCACCACTCCACAAAAACATCGACGCGTCTCAAAATCACACCACTCATCCAGGGGGGGGGGGGGGGGGGGGGGGGGGGGGGGGGGGGGGGGGGGGGGGGGGCGGCCTGGCAAATGACACACCGTTCCCTCGCTGATAACTTCTGCAGGGGGGTGAGTCCACAGGAAGATGGCTGCTCCGTCAATTGTGAAACAAGCCTTGATCTTTCAGCGGGGGCTTCAAGGCAAACGTGGGGTTAAGTGTCTTGGCCCAAGGACACAACACAACGACAGCAGTCCTTCATTGGGACTTTTCAGTGGCTACTGTCGCCCAAAATAGAATGGATTAGAAATAATTCTATTTTTCTTTATATGAAAAGGTGTCTTTTTTATTGTAACCATGGATTTCCCTGGTTTTGTTTTAGGATTTCATAAACCTTTATTTCTCCCACAATTTACAACAAAAGTAGCAGGTATTCTTATTATATGTATCAAACATGATCTATTATTTAAGATAATATATAATAAAATAACATAAAAAAACAACACTCAAGCTATAAGTTCACTTGATAATCCATCGTGTTTTTTATTTTTCAAATATATACGTCGGTGGGTGCAAAAACGGTGGTGGGTTTTTAACGTTTTAGACTTTTTTTGCATGTTGTGTGTTTTTAGTGTCTCCCCGTGACTGGGCAAGACACCTGCGCCTTGAGCATAAAAGCGGAGATGGGAAGGAGGAGAGTGAGACACAGGGCCTCACTCTCTGTGTTTTTTTATTGTTTTTTATCCTTTAACTTGTTTTTTATGGTCAAGAACTGTTTTTCCACATGTGACGTATATTTAAAGAGCGACTAAACACCTGTGCCCAGCCTTACTCCGCCCACATGAAGATTTGAAAATTTTCTCTAAAAAGGGCGTTGCCTGGAGGACCAAGGGACAAGAAGGGGGGCTTAGAGTTGGGCGTGGTCTGGGCTGTGATTGACAGCTCACTTGTCACACACACAAAAACAGACAGTCGTCATTGCTGCTTAAAGCAATAGTTTACAGACCAGAAAGTCTCATTCCACCCTTGTTTACACACTAAGATAATTGTAAAGCTACACACCTGAACCTAATCACACTCAATGATCTCAGAATGACTCATGTAATTTAATTTTAATCCACTAGATGGCGCCAGAATACTCCAAACTGCAGCTGGGGCGTGTGTGAGAGTTGAATGGGTTCACATCACTGGCTCTGACAGACTGACGTCACACAAAACAACTGATGTCATAGAGAACTTCAGAGTCAATGGAGAGGCCAGGACCAAATTCAAATGTAGTACCACCAAAAAGATTGAGAGGGCGCCACACAGCGTTTTTTGGCTCAAAAGTGATATTTTATCTAATTTGAACTAAAATGTCAAAAAAATGACCAGGATATGTAGACAGCACTACAATAAACATACTTATGCAGTTTATGAGTTAAAAAAAGTTGATTTGGTGTTTAGTCGCTCTTTAACATGAAAAGGGAGAAAACATGTATTGAAACTTTGAAAATGTTGTCTTTGTGCTTTTTCTTTTTTTCCAAAGGCAAGACAAATACATTATAAAACACTAGTTGAGGCCTATATCATCCTCCTCTGATGTATCGTAAATCTGAACTTTGTTTTATTTTTATAGCTCCTGTTATTCTTCCTCGGGTCCATCCTCCTGTGGACTCACCACCTGCAGAAGGATCAGTGAGGGGCTGGTGCTCTGTGTGATGCGTGCAGCTCTGACTGCCAACCCCCCCCCCCCCCGCGACCCAGAACTGGATTAAGGGGAAGAAAATGGATGGATGGGTCCATTTGCACAATTACATTTCATATAGAGAGAATGGGCCAAAATTCGATTGCGGGGGGCAGGATTGGGCAGGGGTGTGTGGTGAGGGTCAGTATGCGGGATGCTGCTGTAGGGGAATAGTCTCCAAGTCTTTGTTTTGATGGGATTATAGGCGAGAGAGATAAGAAGCAGCAGCATGTGTGCTCCACTGGGGTTAAAGTCATTCAGGATATGACTAATATTAATATGAGATAATATCCTTTCGAATCATAAAGTCCTTGGTAACTGCCATGAGTATCAGGGCAGGGTTCCACACGCAACTTTTGTGTCGTTCCAATGCAAACAAAAGGAGATGAAAAGGTTGATTATTATCAGAGAGAAACACATTGACCTACACCTGTGGACTGTCCTGCCCCCCTCCATCTACACCTGCGGACTGTCTCACCCCCTTCCATCTACACCTGCGGACTGTCCCACCCCCTTCCATCTACACCTGCGGACTGTCCTGCCCCCCATCCATCTACACCTGCGGACTGTCCCACCCCCTTCCATCTACACCCTGCGGACTGTCCCACCCCCCTTCCATCTACACCTGCGGACTGTCCCACCCAAACCCCCTTCTTCATCTACACCTGCGGAACTGTCCCACCCCCTTCCTCGACACCTGCGGGACTGTCCTGCCCCCCTCCATCACAACCTGCGGACTGTCCCTGCCCCCCCTCCATCTACACCTGCGGACTGTCCCCCCCCCACTTTCCATCTACACCTGCGGACTGTCCCACCCCCTTCCATCTACACCTGCGGACTGTCCCACCCCCTTCCATCTACACCTGCGGACTGTCCCAACCCCCTTTCCATCTACACCTGCGGACTGTCCTGCCCCCATGCCAACTACACCTGCGGCCTGTCCCCATCCCCCTTCCATCTACACTGCTGGGACTGTCCTGCCCCCCTCCATTCTACACCTGCGGACATGGTCCCCACCCCCCCCTTCCATCTACACCTGCGGACTGTCCCACCACCCGTCCATCTACACAACTGCGGACTGTCCCACCCCCCCTTCCATCATACACCTGACGGACTGCCCTGCCCCCCTCCATCTCACACCTCGGGACTGTCCCACCCCCTTCCATCTACACCTGCGGATCTGCCCTAGCCACCCCACCATCTACACCTGCAGGACTGTCCCACCCCCCTTCCATCTACCACCTGCGGACTGTCCCCACCCCCTTCCAATCTACACCGGCGGCTGTCCCACCCCCTTCCATCTACACCTGCGGACAGTCCCAACCCCTTCCATCTACACACTGCGGACTGTCCCACCCCCTTCCATCTACACCTTGCGGACTGTACCCACCCCCTTCCATCTTCACTGCCCCTCCGGGACTGTTCCCGCCCCCCCTTCCCATCTACACCTGCGGACTGTTTCCCACCCCCCATCCCATCTACACCTGCGGGACAATGCCCTTGCCCCCCCCTACCATCGACCACCTGCGGACTGGTCCCACCCCCCTTCCATCTACAGCCTGCGGACTGTCCCTACCCCCTTCCATCTACAACCTGCTGCGGACTGTCCCCACCCCCTTCCATCGACACCTGCGACTGTCCCCCCCCTTCCATCTACACCTGCGGACTGTGTCCCACCCCCTTCCATCTACACCTGAGGACTGGCCTTGCCCACCCCTCCATCTACACCTGCGGACTGTCCCAGCCCCCCTTAACCGATCTACACCGGCCGGACTGTCCCACCCCCTTCCATCTACACCAGCGGACTGCCCTGCCCGACCCGCCTGGGAGTGCTTCAGTCCTGCACCGGACCTGTCCACGTTCTGCGGCTGCTGCGTGGCATTGGTCCTCGTTCTGTAGCTTAGGTCCTGGATTATTAGCCTGTCCGTCCGTGTAGGAGCGGATCCCTTTCTCAATACGTGGGTCTCCCCTTGGTTTCTCACTTTTTTTCCCATTGGGTTTTAGTGAGTTTTTCCTTGCTGATGCAGGAGGTCTGTTGGACAGTTTAGTGTCCAACTAGAAGGACTGTGGTGATGATCCAGGACACTTTAACATTCTACAACATGTATGGACATTTATCAACATTCATGGACATTGGTCTCTGCCTATGGACCATTCATATGTTTATATTTTGTGTCTAAACTGTTGATTCTCTGATCTGTGTTGGTGATTTCAAAAGGTTTTGTCAAGTCCTCTGAGATGACTTCTGTTGGGATTTAGGTTGCTATTATCAAGAAGACATTGTTGTGTGTGTGTATAATTATTTGACTTATTTATTCAACCTGAGTTTTATGTCTTTGTCCCCCATTGAAACCCTCTACTTTCTACTTTCCTTTGCAAAACCCTTTTGGGAAGATGTAATGTCTTGTCTTCGGTTTGAATGTAACACAAATATAATTTATTTTACATGTGTGGATCCGTGGGGACGGGTCTTGGCTCCGTAAAGGTCCATGAGCATGTGTGCTAATATGCTTGCAATCTCACTCAGGGCCGGTGTGGGTGGAATTACCCATCTCTTTAGTGTAGCGTCTTCTTTCCTTTCGAATATGGCTTTACAGGATGGTCCAGAAGTCGGCTCTTGGCCCAACACTACATTCCAGATGTGTGTCAATTCTGAGTAATTTGTTTTGGACCAGTCTAGCACATTATTTTCAACGGCAGAGATTAGCGTGACTACGTGCGTTTATATTTGTGTAAATACATAATAATAATAATATATGTTCATAATAACAACATAAGAATTTCTAATGTTGTTTCCTGTCTCTCCCTTTTATAAGATGAATAAAGCTTCTCTTCTAAAATTGTATCTCGTGAACATAAACTGTTTGAACATTGCAGCACTGTTTACATCTTCCTGCATGTAGGTGGAATCAATATTCCAATTAGCTTGTTCCCAACAGCAGCAAATTCAAAAAGGAACAGAACAGAACAGAAGGCAAATGTCTAGTTGGACAGAGAGCAAAAGTATCAATAGGAAATGTGGGCCCTTCATTATGTTTACAGTTATCTGAATGATACGCTGTTTTTAAATGGGAAACTCCTCTCCTTTGCACAATCTTCAGTGATTTTATCCATGCCAAATCATGTAAATTTCTCCTGTATGAGATCAATAAGATGAGATAAGAATTCCTTTATTCGTCCCACAGTGGGGAAATTTCGAGTCTATCTTATCTTAAATGCTTCGGTATCAATATATTTCTTTCTATCTATATAGTTTAAAGTTATATGTACGTAGGGAAGGATAATAAATAGATTAAGTGACATTCAGTGGACAGTCTGAAATTGCAGTATTGCACATGATTACAGTGTTTACTATTTACAGATGATTGACATGTAGCGGCTCAGCGATTCTCATTGTACAGTCTGCAGCAGGAAGGGGAGACCTGCGGAACCTCTCCTGCACACAGCGAGGATGAGTGAGTCTGTCGCTGAAACTGATCTCCAGAGCAGACAGGCTGCTCCTGCAGGAATGTAGAATGAAATGATATAACATGTTGTTATGGAATGTACTAAGTATGACACAGAAAGACTGACAGGGAGACAACCGGGTGAGTCTCTCAGAAACTGAAAGTGGAAGGAAAGTACTATGGGAAACACTAAGATGGGCAGATATGATGGATCCATTCATCCATCCATTTTCTTCCGCTCCATCCGATGCCGAGTTGCGGGGGTAGCAGTCTAGGCAGAGATGCCCAGACTTCCCTTTCCACACACACTTGGATATAAACGTAGAAAACCAACTTTCAAAAGAGAAAAGGTTCAGGAAACTAAAATCCCCAGCAAAACCCGACTTTTGAGAAAGCTGTAGGTTCTATGACCGCTAAGAACGAGTCGTTTTTGTTTACACTGGCACACACAATCTTTCCTTTGGTGTGGAAAGACAGCGAGTCATTGAGAGCTTTGGGCCCAGGTTTACTGCATGCACAACGTCACGTAAACAACACCTGTGAAACGTCTTTGTCATGAAGTAAAACACAATCATATATGAATCTTGAGAGTTGTAATCTTGAGGTCTGCTTTTAGACTCAAGAGCTTGGGAGCTCACATTTCCTATCACAACAGAGGACCGTCTTTTCATTTGTACCATTATCACTCTTGTGGGAGCACTAAAGTGTTATTTCTTGTTGATCTTTCACCCATTTCACCAGATGGAGCTGATCTAATCCAAACACATCCCATTCTTTAAAAAACAGTTTACTGAAAATAAGGAGAAACGGGCTGGCACTTAAGTTATTAGTGAGTACGTCTGTGTTAGCTTTGTGAATGAGGATCCTGATGTTTTGTGTTCACAATGAATCATTTAAAATATGACGTTGTGGGGATATTACTATGAAGAATGTTTTATCTCTAGTGTCTCTTCAATTCATGAATCAAATATTGAATGTCCTTGTTTTACTTTTTTTAGAAAGCGTAAAACATTTCATTCAAATATGTACAATAACAGTTTTTGCTTAGTCTTCAGCTGATTCCGATTGAATGTTAGTCAGGCATGATGTATTCAAATGGAATCAGTTAAAGACTAAGCACAAACATTTTCTCTACTAACAGTATAACAACTCATCCATAATCATCTTAAAGACAACATATTAAACATTTTTGGCCTTTAAAAACTGATGGAGTGATTTTGAACGGGAAATAATATTATCAAAAGAAAATGGCAAAACAAGTATGAGGGGTAAATTTTTTTTAGCTTCCTAGCTCTCTGTGCTACCACCAGAGGGAGATTTCAAATTAACATATAATCTGCCACAAACACAAAGCCATGGGATTATAAAGGACATAATTTTACATGATAAATTGTCAAAACAAATGAATGAGCAAAGCAGAAGGCTGTCAGAATAATTATGTCATAGTGGTACACTTACACCATATCCATGTAACATTACACGTTTGAGACTTTTAGAACCGAACGGGCTGAGTTACATGTTTGTGCCAAAAGTTTCTAATATTTGCATGTATCCAAACTGTATCCAAACATTGTTCACTCAATGAGGGAACAATGTCGTAACACAGTCAAGAAAGTCCATTCCGTATACATGTCTGCTGAAAAAGTTCTTTATCTTCTATGTATCTTGCTTTAACAGGCTTCACTGAGTCTTGATCTTTAAGAAAAATCCAACTGTGTGGTCAGCTGCGCCCGAGGCATCAGGATATTGAAGCATTTCTGCATGATTCATCTGTGAGTGGACCAAAGTGGACCGATCATGTTCCTTGTTAAACAGCCTGCAGGTCGCGGCTCTCTCCGCTCTGTCTGTGGGTCAGTGGGTCAAATGCAGCTGATGGCATTTCCTGTACGGACTTCCTGAGTCTTTATTTTTTTTTCCGCAACTTCAATTCGATTTTTGACCCTGAAGACATGCACGAAAGTCTGCACATGGGGGGTCTAAAACGACCGGTTCGGCGAAACATTTGATAAAATGAACGTTTCCAGATTGTCCGACGCTCGCCGACTCTATAACGCCCCCTAGAAATTTCATTTTTTTTGACCCTCTGGGGATTTTTTTTCAAATTTTGGAGTAGTAGGTACACGAAATTCGGATGAGTGATAGATCTCTATGAGACAAGCATAAAAGCCGTTCTAAGCACATGTCTGGGACCAACAGGAAGTCGGCCATGAGGGGCCGAAGTTTCGCCACTAATTTGACTTTTCATTTATAAATTCGAACTAGTCCCTGGTTTTTCATCACACAGAGTTCTACCACGTCATTTCCCGCTCTGGACGGATTGAAGTTATATAATCATCAAAAAAAAGTTAGAAAATCTTCACCGTTTTTGTCCCTCGCCATGGCGAATAAGGCCTTCGTTTTGGCCATTTTCGCTGAGCCCTGAGGGCCACAGGCTCAGACCTACAGAGCTGAGACTCACATCAGTAATATTAGGTTATGGCCTGAACGCAATGACACTAAAATCATTCGCCCAATTTGAGCTCTTTAGCGCCACCTGTCGGAAAGTAATAGGGCACTAGTGCTCGGATCGGCCCGAAAATCGCTGAGTGTATTTTCTGGACCGAGACGAGCAACACATTACATTACGCAAAAGTTGTACGTCCTACACCTGACCACTGGGGGCGCTGGAAAGTGAATAAATGAGCTTTTTAGGGCAAAATGTTTGTCCGATGAGGCTAAAAATGAATTCAGAAATACAACGTATGACCCTGAACACAACGATATGCAACACACAACTGTGAGTGCAACAGCGCCACCTACAGGCAGTTCAATGTGTTGCATTTTTGGCTTCGTACTAGTCCCTGGATTTTCATCGCACAGACTTCTACCATGTCATTTATCCATCTGGACGGATTGAAGTTATGTAATCATCGCATAAAAGTTAAAATTTTGTTATCGTTTTCATGCAAGGTAGTGGGGAATTTCTCCATGTTTGATGCTCTCCTGACCACAGGCTCAGACCTACAGAGCTGAAACTCACATCACTAACAGTTGGTAATGGCCTGAGAGTAATGGTGTGAAAACACACACCTAATATGACTCTACAGCGCCACCTATGTAAGGCTTCTGACCTAAACTTTTCCGATCTTAACCAAAGTTGCAAAATCAAATCTTTACATCTGTACGAGCAAAATACTACTCTACGTAACAATATATAACAATAACAACAACAATCATTATTAACCTAAAAATGATAAAACAATTCATTAGTA